CTTATGATCATTCTAAGCATTGTTTTTAAGTCTCTTGTCCTGTAAAACTGTAGGTGGGAACATAAAACCAACACTCCCCATCCCCAGCCCTGACCCTTTTCCCATTTCCTGTCTCTATGAGTTTGTCTTCTCCAACTGCATCCTGTCAATGGAATCATAAGGTTGTGGCCGTGACATGGACATCACTGAGCCTGTGTCCTTGCGGGTCACCCAGGCTGTGTCATGCTCAGAGTTCCTTGATGAGGGCTGAGTAGTAGAGCCTGCTCCTGTGTGTGTTTACAAGCTGTCCTTATCACTTCCTCTGCTAGGAGACACCTGGGAGGCTCCCATCGTGTCGGAAGTGATGCTCTTATGAGCACGGCAGTACACACAGCCCTTCGAGGACTTGGTGTTTTTGAGTGTTAAGCAGAAATGGAATAGCTGCCAGCAAGTGATAATTTCACTTTTTGAGAAAGAACAGTGCTGACTGGCACAATGCTGGGCCCTTTGGCATTCACACCAACAGAGCCAAGGGTCCCAGTTTCTCCAGACCCCACCAGCACTCCCTTTGTTCTGCTTTGTGTCCCAGCCAATGCCATGAGTGTGAGGGGGTAACTCAGTCTAGCTCTGCCTTGCCTTGCTCTAATTGGTGAAGTGGAGTACTTTCTCAGGTGCTATTTGACATCTGTGTATCATCTAAGGGACATGTCAGTCCAAATGCTTCACCCATTTCAGAATTGAGTTGTTTGGGTTTTGTTTTGACACACCTGTTTTGTAAATGGAATATTAATGGAACACATGCATCCATTCCTTCAGGTATTCTGTACAGTTGACTTTCCTTTCTCTTTCTTTTTTTTTTTTAATTGGAAAGTCAGATATACAGAGAGGAGGAGAGACAGAGCGCAAGATCTTCCCTCCGACGATTCACTCCCCAAGTGACTGCAACAGCTGGTGCTGCGCCAATCTGAAGTCAGGAGCCAGAAACCTCCTCCTGTTCTCCCACATGGGTGCTTGGTCAAAGGTTTTGGGCCATTCTCGACTGCCTTTCCAGGCAACAAGCAGGGAGCTCGGTGGGAAGCAGCACTGCCAGGACTAGGACCAATGCCCATATGGGATCCTGGCATGTTCAGGCAAGGACTTCAGCCTCTAGGCCACCATCAGGCCCAGCTGACATTTGAAAACCAAAATGTTGAGTAACTGTGACAAATCATAACGCAGAAAGCCTAAAAACTTGGCCATCAAAGAAAATGTTTTCTGACCCTGTACTAGTGTACAAGTATATGCACTTATGTTTTTTAATCACATTGTCACTTTGATCTTCCGTTACATTTAAACATGTCTGTCCTCAAATCAAATAGACTTAACCAATTTCCACTCACCTATTGCTTAATGGTTTTTTACATTACAGTTGTTGCTACCTTTTTTTTTTGCGAACAGAAAAGTTTGTGATGCGACCAGTTGAGCAGGAAACGGAGGGAAGTGGAAAGCATTTCCGGAAAGGAAGCCAGGAGATGGGGTTCCTCTTGAAAGGGGAGGGAGAGAGAGAGAGACAACAAAGATTTGAGGAAGCTTTGGGATTTTAAGCCTTCCTTGAACCTACCTTGTTGGGTGGGGAACCTAAAGGTAAGATGTTCCCTCTTGGTGGTCTCTTCATTAGTTAGAAAATGGGTGGGCAATGCTGCTGCTGCCCACTTGAAGGTTGGCCAAGACCTCAGCAGGCCTGGATGGTCTCAGATCCCCCTCTTGAAACCCCACATCCTACTTCTGTAGGGGTAAAGGGCAACAATGTCTTCTGGCTGCTTCCTGCTGAAATTGGGCATGGTTTGGGTAAGGGAACAGAAATGTGGGATCCAGAGGGATGGTTCAGGTCATCTACGCTGCCATGGAACAAGTTGGTTTGGTTGTCATAGGAGCTTGTGTGCTCAAGGACACCTGGAGTCTGAAGATACCTTGTAAAGTCTTCTCTTGGTTGAGCCGAACCACGTGGCTCCCGCCTGTCTCTTTTTCATGCCCCACGTTGGGCGCCAAGGAAAATATGTTACCAGAAATGCCCAGTGGGTTCTTTCCTCAGCTCAGTATAGAAATTAAAAGCCAGGAATCTGTTGCAAACAGAAAAGTGTATTTGCGAAGGGACCAGGTGAGCAGGGAAGGGAGGGAAGGGGAAAGCACCTCAGGAAAGGAAGCTGGGAGGTGGGGTGCCTCTCGAAAGGGGAGGGAGAGAGAGACACGCTGTTGCTACCTTTTATTTGACCTTAGTAAGTGCAGCTATTGGCACTGACCACTGGTGCAAACTCCCCTCCTGCACTAAGACACCAAGGTCAAGTACACCACTGTCCTGCCAATTTCAGAAGGCTGTTCCATAGGCGTTCACCACATGAGTCTTCCTCCTTTGCAAGTGACCTCTGATGGAATTCCAGGTTCTGATGTAGTGCCACATCATGGGGCAGCAAACCAGCCCAGCACAGCCCAGCCCATCTCAGGAAGGTTGTCCCAAGGGCAGGTGCAGCACCTTTAACGGTGAAGTGAGAGACAGCTGCAGGTACCTTCTCTGATCCCTGCATGCTTACAATCCCTGCATGCATGTGACTCTGTACCTCCTCAGATCCAGATGGTTATTTCCACAGCACAAAGTCCCATTCATGGCAGAACAGGCTGGCTTTGCATTCCCAGGAGGCAATTCTTCCACATTTCCAAACTTCCTGAACACCTGATGCAGGCCAGGCACCATGACACATATCACAGGGAAGACACGGAGGGATTCTCTTCTCTGTTAATTGACTTCTTCTCAGTTCGTGTAGAAAAACAAACAAACAAACAAGTACAACAATTATAGGTAATGTGACACTATTTATTGAGAAACATTCTGAAAATATAGACCAGGAATATCCATGTCAGGGAAAGCACCCTGGAGCAGCTCCCAGTGGGTGTGCCTGACGACTGCCAGCCCCTCCCTATCAACCCTGCAGCTCTTAGAAACAGAGCCTAGCTGCATCAGGTTTCAAACCGTGGCACCATGATCCAGGAATGAGGAGCCACGCAGCAGGAAGAAACCAAGGAGAGGAACAGAGCAACATGCACAGGGCACAGATATGACCAGCACACCATTTAACCTCACCCGACCAGGTACGCCCACCCACAGCATCCTGCTCCCCCAGGTCCTGCTGTGGCAACAGAATGAAGATCCTGAAACTCCAGCACAGTCAATGCCAAGTCAGGGCTTTCAGGGAAGAGGACAGACCCAGGCTGAGATTCAGGCTTCCTAGGGAGCACGCAGTGCAATGGAGACCTTGCTCTGGAGCAGGGTCAGCACAGGCCCAAAGATCTCTCTGTCCGGAGCTCAGGGCCACTCAGGCCCCTCACAGCAGAGTAGGAGCCATAGTATGGGCCTTAGTGTAGGAGAAACAGCCCAGGGGCTGAGGGAGAGGGCAGAGCTGAGGCTGGCTAGGGTCTGTATGGGAGGCGCTGGCTTAGAGGACAGAGTGCAGCAGGCTGGGCAGCAGAGAGAGGACTGAGAAAGCTCAAGCAAGGCTGGGGGACTGAGCTGCCCAAAGCCTATACTATCTTTGAAATTATACAACCCTAATCTCCTGTCCACTTGGCTATCTTAGCAAACACAGGTCTTGGGAGGAAGTGACTGGTCTTCATGTAGGCAGCGATTTTTGGCAGGGCCTGCAGGGGCAGAAACAAAAGCACAGTTCAGTCTGTGCCTACAGTGGAGTTCCAGAAACCCCAGTGCAGGCACAGCCCCGATCCTTCCCCAGTGAGTCAGTACATCCTAAATGTAGGAAACAGCAGGAGGTGAAGCAGCACAAATTTGAGGCCAGGCTCCAATCCTTCCCCTGACACAGGAAGTTCTAACTCCTCTATTTGGTATCTGAACACAACCTCACTGTGCGTCTATCCCCTGATCCGGAGACATTATACAGTGAACAGCAACAAGCACAGTCCTGGGACATGCACCTGCACGCCAGGGCTGACAGTGCCCACAGAGGTTCTCAAGAATTCAGGGGGTTCCAGAGTGTTCTGAGCCAAATTAGCCTGGCCTGGCAGCCACATGGTCCAGCACACAGATGTCATCTGGTCTCTCCTCCCTGGCTCACAGAGCTGAGCAACTGTTGCATAATCCCCAATGTCACAGGACTGGACCTGATCCAGAGCTAACGAGAAGGAACTGAACGGGCACATCTTTCCAATGGAAGGAACGGTACAAATAATGTAATAATGTAGAATGAATAACTTGTGAACCCAAACCTCAGACATCGAAAACGTGATCAAGTAGACTTTATCGCAAACTAGATGACCCAGGGTGACTGACGGGACACTGAGAGGTGTGGCTTATGGTGTGCCCCTGTGTTACCCCTTCCCTCCCACCTGCTGTGCCTGCAGTTCTCTAACTGGCCTCAGCTCCAGCAAGGAGTCACCTTTCCACACACATAAAATTAAACATCAGGGATCTGCAAAATGTCACAGACAGAACACGTGGGACACTTGAATGAGAAAAAAAAAGTGAAAGAAAATTTTCACTACCAATTCTTTAAGACAAGAATGTGCACTTGGGGCACCCCTGTGACTACTGAGATTCTACAACAACACAAGTTGAGCAGCTCATTGCTTCCACATAGGGACCTGATTGCTTCAACTGCTCAGGCAATCAAGCACATGGAGTTCTGTGTCTGACACTGAAACTCAATTCTAACACATCTCACACCCTGATGCCCGCTAAAAAGAGAGGCCTCTCCTACAGTCTCCATGGGTGGGAGACAAGACAAAGGTCTGAGGCTGCTCCTTGTAGCACAAGATTCAGAGAAGCCTGACTGCTGCCCCTACACATGAGGGGTTACTGGGAGCCAAGCACAGCTGTGATGGGCTCTGGGAACCTGACAAGTGGCTTTCCCCCTACTGACTCAGGTTCCTTATGAGTCCTTATGGGTCTTGCTGTCAGGGGTTGGTCTGCAGCTCAGCTCCAGGACTCAGAGAGCATGAAGGAACTGGAAAAGTGGAGAGAAGGATCAGGGAGTCACCTCAAATCTGGCCATGAAATCCTTCAGGTTTGGGAATGCATCCAGGCAACCAGGAGCAAAAATACGGTTCTCATCCAAGACATCATAAACATGGAAATCAGCAATGGTGATCTGCAGAAGCCAGGAGGAGAGAGCTCAGGACCAGAGGAAACCGACCATGCCCCCTGCTCCTGCCTCCCTCCCTCCCTCGGTCTCACCTTGTCCCCTGCAAACCAGGGCCGCTTCCCCAGGAACTGGGAGTACAGTGTCAGCTTGTCTGGGAGGCCCTTCAGGTAGTCAGGCTTCAGCTTCTCCTGAAAGAACAAAAGGCTGTCAGCACCCACAGGCACAACTTTGGGGAGAGGGGCTGCCTGTCAGGGCTGCACATGGCCCCGCTGGCCAGGGGAGCATCCTCACTGAGTGTGGCACAGGGTCTGTGTTCCTCCTCGGATTTCATTCATCAGCATCTGAGAGACTCCCACCGGCCCCCATCCCATCTGTGGGAGACTACCAGAAATCACATAGAAGTCCAGTTCTGTCCCTGAATGTGTCACCTCTGATGTCCAAGCATCCTGCTGTGGGTCACTCCCAGGGGTGCCATGAGTGTAGGTTCCCTCAGACTCAGCTGGGGGTGAAAGCAAAGAGGCAGAGAACTAAAAGACCTTGGCAAAGAAGACGAAACTCTACCTGGTGGGCTGGCAGGAGAATGCTAGAGGCATGTGCACAGCTCACAAAGGATGAGAATGTGATCTGCAAGGTTGAAGGGAAAGGAACCCAGGACCTCTGGGTGACCCCGGGCTCCCCACTGGGGAAATATGCTTATCCCTGTGGGACACAGAGAGAACCCTGAGAAAAAATGGCAGATGCCCCCATCTTGAATTAATGTCTACAACAATACTGCACATCCAGACACTGGTACATGACAGAAACACAATGAAATATGGCCATGGTAAGAGTCAAAGTTTAGGCACAAATGGGAGTTTGAAGCAAATTTTCTTACACCTGACTGTTGACCTAGAATCATTGGGCTGCTGTAGGACCTTGCTCAGATTTTATTTCCCAAGGCTTAGACTACAGAATCAATGCGTTGGTCAGATAGGAAATTGCTTGGAGAATCATTCTCCCTAGGGAGTTTAGTAGCAAACAGGAGCAGTGCCGATGAGAACACAAGAGGTTAATTAGTTCCTCACTGAACCCATCAGGTCCTGTCCAGTGGGGCACTCACAAAGTCAGAGTTGTAGCAGATCGTAATGAGTTGCATGCGGTTGTCCATAGCCTGGTTCTCCAAAATGTCCACGCGAATCTTCTCCTCTTCCGTCTCCCCACCTGCAGCACACACAGCAGACACCCTCAGCATCCCACCCAGCCAGGCCCAGGGCACAGCCACAGCCCCACGCCCTCAGCCAGCCCCACTCACACAGGTTGTGCTTGCGGCCGAGGTAGCGCACAATGGCGTTGCTCTGGGTGAGCTTGTGAGTGCCGTCAATCAGGTAGGGCAGCTGGGGAGGGAGGAGGGAAGTCAGCTGGGTTCCCAGGTGCCCAGCATCCCCTGCCCTGAACAAGGGCACACAGGGGACTTGGCATTCTCTGTGTATAGAGCAAGGCAGGCTCCAGAGACACATCTGTACAAGCAGTGAGTGAGCTATGACATAGAAGCCAGTGGAAAAGCCTTGTAGAGAACCGGGAATGACAGCGGCTGAGCACAAGGTCCTGGTCCTGAAACCTCTAAGCTTGGGAAGGATGTGGAGGCAGAGAGACACCTTGCACTCCCCTGCCCTCAGAGCACCCCATCCCCTGTACTTACATTGGGGAAGTCCAGGCCCAGCTTGAATTTCTCATTCAGCCAGTGGCTTCGGTCATAGTCGGGAGCTGTGGGAAAGACCAAGAGAAACAAAACCTCCCCAGTGTGGAGCCTCTTTCCTTGGACCCTCCCAAGGAGTCAGGAGCAGGACCCTTGAGGCAGGACACGTGGGATCTGAGCCCCTCATCTCACATTCAACATCTGGGGGAAGGGGAAAGAATGATTGTAAGGGCTCTGAACCACAAAGCTTGTAAGATGTGTGGAAAAGGACTCAATGCCGAAACACATTCCCAGCACCCCTTCCCAGAGCCCTGCCTCTGGAGGCCATCCTCAGACTCCATTCCAGCTGTTAGAGGATGCACCGGTGAGCCACAGGTGGCCAGACAGGGGTTACTACTAGGTGACAGATGCAGAGGGCAGAGGCAGAGCAGGCAGGGCTGTACCATCGCCCAACTTGTATTTCTTTTCCTCATAGCTGGTGTCCGTATACTCCAGGAGCAGGCGGATGGAGTGAGCCAGCTGGGGAATGGTCCAGAGCAGAGATCAGAGATTTTATGGCCCCCGACTGCTGCCCCCATCTCCTCCAGGGGAGCCCCCCACCCGGCCCTCCAACTCTATACCTAATAGATTCAGGCGCCTGCTGCCCCTCCCCTATTCTGGGATGCCCGTACTGGGAATTCCTGAGAGCCTGCCTAGGTGGAGTCTTCCCAAGCTGCTTTTCGCTCTCTGCCCCCACCCCACGTTCAAGCCCACGTCCCTCCCGCCGGGCAGCCCCCTCACTCACCCCGCGGAGATCCCAGTAACCCAGCGTTACAGGCATGTTGCTGCTGCTACTGAGACCTGGGAGACTGGGCTTTCGCAGAGGAGCCTGGGGTTCTTTTGTCGCGTCAGGGCTGTGGAGGGGAGTGGCTTCTGTGAACCTGCCCCGCCCCGCCACAAACTCCAGGTAACCTAGAGGGCTTGCAGCCTGGTGGTGCTTAGCTCTGCCCCACCCATAGGAATGAGCCAGAGCTGAGACTGCAGCCAGGATAGCGGGGACAGTTGGAGGCCTGCAGACCAAAGCCAAGTGCTGGCCCAGCACTGGCAATGCCCGCAAGCCCTCCTTGAGGCTTCTGCCCCTCGCTTACCGCCTGCTGGGCCCCAGGCTTTGGCAGTTCCCTTGAAAGTAATGCCAGGCCTTTAAGCTGCCACGCAGTTTCCCTACTGTCTCTGTGAGCTGGGTACTTGGCTCAGTCCTCATCCCAGGGAGGAGCACCACCTCCCACTCTGGATTCTGGGAAGACAGGCTGCTGGGCCAGACCAGGATGGGGTGCCCCTTGACCAGGGGCAGGGACAGTAAGGGTGACCTCCCTCTTCCCATAAGGAACTGGAGCAACTGAGTTCCCTGAGGTGTTTAAGGATTATGTAAAGTAGCTGAATCCTATTCTGCTCCAGTAAGGGGGCAGGTACACAAGAGCCTCCCTGCCAGGTGGCTGGCTTTGGATGCATCTGGTTGGAGTGACCAGTTCCTCTCCAAGGCAGAAGCAGGGTCTTTAAGGGGCCATGGAGTCTTAGGGCTCTGCACTCCTTCAAAGCTCAAAGCCAAGGGCCAGATCTTCTTCCCATCCAGCTCCCTGCTACTGGCCTAGGAAAGCAGCAGAAGATGGCCCAAGTGCATGGGGTCCAGACATCCCGATGGGACACCAGGATGATCTCCCCAGCTCTGACTGAGGCCATTCAATGGGGAATGAAACAGCAGCTGGAAAATTCTCCTCCCACCCTTTCACCCTCCTCCCTCCCTCTCTTTTCTCTCTCTGTAACTCTTTTAAATAAATAACCCTCTTTTATTTTTTTTGAAATTTTAATTTTAGATGATGTTTACATAGTCCATCAGGATGGGAAGGATCCAGGGTTAGGAGGAAGTAAGTGTGATCATTGTTTCCAAGTTTTGTATGTCTTCTTCCCATTTCTTGTGGGAGTGGGGAGATAAGAGGATAGGCCATAGCCAGCCTCCTAACCATGCCAGTGCCTGTGGATGGGGAAAGGCCACCTGATATCAACTCCGAGTCACAATGGTGCATGTTGTGAAGGTTTTGCCCAGGTGGATGTGATAGTTCCGAAATGCTGTCAATCTTGCTGATCTGTGGATGAGAAATCCCTTCCAATGTCCATTGGCTGACACCATTGACCTCACCTCAGGCAGGGATTTGCTGTCATTGTTTGGCTGGCATAGTTGTCCGTATGTTCTGCTCTTCATTCTCTGCTATGAAACCAGATGACCTCTGCTGTTGGTGTCCGTGCAGTGGATGTAGGGTACATGAAGGAGTGAAGAGTGTTGTTCCATTAAGGTAGGGCCACAAGGAACTTCCAGCTGTTTGGCAGGGCCCACCAGCTCTACATCCACGTGACTGCAGCTCCTCCTTCTTTTGCATGGACACCGGACCACCCTGCTAAAGAATTCTAATCCATCCAGGCATTTGTTTGCTACTGTGAGGCTGGCCTTTTGCTCAGTGTGTGCTTGTAGGATAATGTCGGTGATAGAGTCTTGCAAAGGGGTCTTCTAATATTCCTACTGTCTTGGGTGTCCCCATTGATCTTATGCTAATCAAAGGACCTGCATTTAGACTTTCATTCTTCCCTCATTCTTTAGATTCCCGTTTTGTTTGATACAAGATTGAGCTGTAGAATAAGAATTGTAGCAAGAACTTCTATTGTTTCTAGGTAAAACTAATGGCAGAATTATCCTCAGAAATTCCCAACTTGACCATGACGTAAAAAGTCTGAGCCAGAGTTTGACTGATTTTGTATAAATTAAGCAGACAGCATTCCCGCATTGTCCATTATGATCATGAAATCCTAGTGGTCCGTCTCTTTCTTTCCTCTTTTTGCCTCATCCACACACCCTTCTCGAGTTCTGAACTCAGCTGGAGCTGGACTCAGTCACTCTGCAGGCCCCATTAGCTACCATGTCCTCCATTTGCACCACGGTCTGCTGTCCAGCACTCCATCCTCTACATTGTTGAGGACCAGTTCTCCCAGGTGGGCTCATGGTCCTAAGTCAGGTGACCATTCCAGATGACCCCAGCATCAGGACTGTGACCCAGAATCCACCAGACCCTCAACACCCAAGCTCAAGGACCTGATCCCCGCCACTCAGGCAGGTCCAAGGACCTAGGCCAGGAAATCCAGGGTCCTCTGGACCCCCATCCCCGTGGGGCTCATGGATCCAGCACTCACTGTGCAGGTGGGCTCAAGGCCCCAGGTCATGTGAACCAAGAACTGCTTGGACCCTTCTGCCCCCAGAGTTTATGAACCTGACACCAACCACCACCTCCAGACTGTCATGGCTCATCTCACCTCAACATCTGCCAGTGGGTTCTTCATCCTGGTTTGGTCCAGCCTAACCCCAGTTCCAGCTTATGCTGGTTGGTGCTGTAGCATAACCTTGCACAATCAGCACCCCCTGTCTCAGCTCCAGTGTGAACTGGCTGGGGTTGTGGCCCAACTCAGCACCTCCCACACCCCAACTACAAATGGATGTTGTGATTTGGCATGGCCTGGCACACACCCAGACATGACCCACATGTGTGCCAGCGGGTACTGCAACCTGGCCTGGTTTGGGCTGCTCTTTGCCTTGGTTTTACATTCACCTATAGGGACTGCAACCTGACATAGGAGGTCACCAAGCTCCTCTATCCGGTCTCCTCCCTGTGGCAGATCTTGCACATACTGGTGGGTGCCTGGCCTAGGTTGACTTCGTGCACCTCTTGTTCTGGCAGGAACAATGTCACTGCCCAATTGGCCCAGACCTTTTCTGGCTCATATTGTTGGGTGTTGCAGTCCAGCCTCACTTGGCCCATGCCCAGACAGTTTTCACATATTTCAGCATGAGTTGAGACCTAGCCCAGCCCATTCTCCATGCATCCTGACTCTCATGAGTACCAGTGGGGTCCTAGAGTCTAGCCCAGCCTGGCCCTCCCCAGACCCAGGCCACACCTGTGCCAAGGGAGATTGCAGCCATGTTCATCCCAGGACAATGCACTGATTCTGGCACTTGCATTCACCAATGGGAATTCTAGCTCAGCTGGGGCGTCCCCTGAGCTCCCCAACCAGGCCTATTCCCAGCCCAGTACTTGCACGTGCCAATGAAGATTGCTTTTGTACATGAGGGAGCCTACATATTGCCCTGCAGATTCTACCTCCAGACCTGATTCACTCATGTATTTGTTGGTTTCATGGCCCAGCCTCACAGTGTCCTGTTCTGATACTTGCTGGTGGGTTTCATGACAACACTTTGAGAACAGTAGCCTTGTCCATGGAAGTCCCTCAGAAGTCATTCCTCAGCTAGACATGAACCCTCAATCTAATTGTGCCATCCCCAAGTCCCCAGAGCACACTACCAGTTGGCTTGAGGGGTTCACCTGGCATCATTGGCACCAGGGCCACCCGAGTTCCCTTGGCCACAGCCACACAGGCAAGCTCTTGATCTACCCACAGCATAGCAGTGGTGGATGAAGCCAATATCCTGAGGTTCAAGCCCAGACCGCCTCAAGATCCACCCACAGCATGATAGCAGTGTGCAAAGACAAAATCCCAAGGTTCAAACACAGACCAGCTCAAGATCTACCCACCTCATGGCGGCTATGCACAGAGCCAAAATACCAAGCCTCAAGATCGGCCCAGCCTTAGTTCTCCCAGTCACAACCATGAAACCTGGGAAGCAAAAAGTCCAAGCCTCAGTGGCGTTGAACGCACCAGGACCCCATATGGGCGCCGGTTCTAATCCCAGGAGCCCCACTTCCCATCCAGCTCCCTGATTTTCAGGTCTTAACAATGTGTGGCATTCCTTCGTTTTGGCCCTATCAGTCATAACAATCATGGTGGCATGGATTAGGCTGATCCTTGTAGGGTGAGCATCTCTTATTTGTCCACTTGTTTGAGTCAGCTTGCTCCTCTTTCCTTCCAGCTCCCTGTTAATGTGCCTAGGAAAGCAATAGAAGATAGCACAGGTATTTGGGCCCCTGCCACTCCCATCGGAGTCAGGCACAGAGTTTGGAATCCTACATTAGGCTTACTTTAGCCCCAGTTATGCAGGCACTGGGGCCAGTGCAACAGAGGATAACAGATATCTCTTTGTCTCTCCCTGTCTATATCACCCTGAATGCTAAATAAATAAATCTTTAAAAAGAAACTTAAGCGTATAAATATTGAGGAAAATGTTGTATTAGATGTGAAGTTTAAGAGCTGATTACTAAGGAAAAAACTCAGAATAATTTTATCCTTACTGCAGTAGGAAGATGTATAATTATAAATAATTTTATACCCAGTTGATCAAAATTATCAACGATGAAAACATACATTTTAAAATCTTGGATACAAGTGTTCTAACCTATGGACTTCAAGTTAAGGACCCACAAGAGATGATCTCATGGGACTAGAACTGATCTGAGGCCCCAGTTGGAGACTGTTTGGTGTCTCAGGTGCCAACGTTCCTTCTCTCGGAATGGCTGCCTGCATTGGTGGCTCTTGCCTTCGTTTGCCATCTCTGCTGCTTATCACAATTTCTGTGCTTACTGGGACCCCTGAGGAATCAGTAGGAAGAGACGAAGCTCAAAGAGGTCCCAGACAGCAGCTTGTAGAAGATCACTGGTTCTTCTTTGTTGTCACGGTCCCTGGGGAAGAGCTGAGGTCACTGGGCAGCTCTGCTCCATGGAGTCAATCGGGTTCAAGCCTTGCTAGAAGGAATAGCATCAGGCCCTTATCCAGGCAGGTTCCCATGCAGGGCACTGTTTGATCAGTCATCTCATAGCAGGCAAAGTTATGTGTAGGCATTCCTGACTCCACCCATCCTCGTGGTTCCTACTGAAACATATGGCAGGT